ATTTGCTATAAGATCTGGATGAATTTGGAAATCAAAAATTTTGGCCAGGATGATTTTAGTTATCCTTTCAGCCAATGTCTTTGTGTCATTTAGAAAATCTTTATTGGGCATTATTTCCATTTCATATTCTTCTAAAACTCTGCTGTACACCACGTCAATAATTGTTTTTACTACATCTCTTTCCACTGGAGGCAAACACAATCGTTCCTCAGCGTTATCTAAAATGCTAACTTGGGCTTTTGAGAATTCCTCTGTTATAAAATGTATGAGTTTTTCAGCTTTATCAAACAGTTCATGTTCTGAATCTCTTTCTGATTTTGTTTGTACAATGCCTACCACCCTGTGAAATATTTTGCTTAAAACCCCAGAGACCACATCTTCCAAAAAAGTTGAGGAATAAACACTGGCATAAAATAACTGCCTTCTCTCATCATCAAAATATGTGTATGATGAAGAAGATAATGACTTTCCATACACAAATGGCTGAAGATGTTGTTGACAGATATATTTAATGATAAAACCTGCTATTCTATCAATAAGAACATCATTACTGCTTGTGATATTTTGCTCAACTGATTCTGGAGACTCAGAGTTTGGTAAAATATTTTTGAATACCGAGTCAACAAGATGCTGAACATCATCTTCTGAATAAACAAACTTGGTTTCTTCTTCATCTTTTGAAAATCGAATTTCGTGTTGGGAAATTTTCATCCTAATATCACTAATTAAGTTAGAAGCAATTTCATTGAAATTCACTCTTGATCTATCTTTTGGGGTTTCTCTATTAGGAACCATGCTAGACGCAGAAGGAAAGAATTTAGATAATAGTACTCTGATCATGTCTTCTAAAAATGTGTATGGCAGCAATGTGTTATACAGAGGTAAACTCTGGCTTGACTCAGTAGATTTACTGATGTCACTGAGGACTTCCTGAATGATATTTTCAGCCATTGAAATAGAATAGGAAGAAGCTGACAAATCCCCAGAAAATAGTGGATGAAGAAGATAATTTGAAATAGTTGCTACAATTAAATTGGTAATATTTTCCACAAAAATGTCACTGTCTTCAGACTCTTTATCAATGTCAGAATCTAGCCCATGCTGTTTTAAAACAGTTCTATAAACTGAGGTGACAAGTTCATCCACAATATCTGTATTGGCAGAGGGGAAAAACTGCTCTTTGTTATCAGATAGTATGTGAATTTTAGCTTTGTCAAAATGATTATTTACTGAGTTTACTATTTTTTGGGTTATGTTTTCCAGCTCAACTTCAGTGTTATGCTTTGGGCTGAAAATCTTTGATAAAAGTCTGGCAACAATCTCTCCTACAAATGTATCAGG